GCGGCTCGTGCTGGCAACCCGAGAGGCGGCGGGCGGCGGCGGAGCGTGCCGCTGCTCGGCTCCGGTCACGGCGCCGCCGCCGGCCCGGCGGCTCACCTGGTTGACCCCTGGACCGACCGGAGCGGCAGAGGGACGAACCAACAGAGCTGCCGAGCTGCGGCCGACCTCAGCGCCCCTGGCGGCCGGCGGCCGAACTAGCGGCAGCACATCCGGCCGACCTCCGCCGCCGTGCCGGCCGGCCGGCCCATCGGGCTGCTAAAAAGGCTTGTTTGACGTGCTTGTTGAGCGTCGTGCGCCGTCTTGACGCGGCGGGTGCGGCGATTACGCCTCACGGCCGGCTGATTTTCGTATTTCGCCCGCCGGCCGAGGTGACGCCGGGGACGGCGGACGCGACCGTTCATTCTCGTTGACTGAGCGGCATGCAAATCAGACGGCAGAACGTTATTTCCGGCGACGGCCGCGACTCCGCTGGACTCCACCGGACTCCGGGCGGACTCCAGACGGACTCGGTGGACGCACTGGGTGCGGCAGAGACCCCAACCTCGGGGACAGACTGCAGGAGCAGCGTGCGAACAGTGAGCTATACGAGACAGAGGCCGGACGCATATCGCCCCGCCAGCGCCACTTTCACCGTGAATCGACCGCTCCGCACGCCGTGATCCGCAGGTTTTCGTGATATCGGCAGCCACCGCTATTTGCTGTCTCATTGGGACACGAAAATACCACAGTCACTCGTTAAACGGGCACCCATCCACCCTCCGCAGCAGGAGAGCGGTGTCCGATTATCGAGGGACGATTCACATCGACGGAGATTTGTTTGAATAATAGTGATTGGTATTGGAATTTTCTAATTTGAGGTAATTTGGGGTGTAATGACACGCAGTGGGCCGCGGTCGGTCGCCGGGCCTTGGAACGGTGTGACGTATGCGGCGAAGAGAGAGGGAGAGAGTAGGGGACGACCGGGCGGCCCCGACGCGCGGACAGAGGGCAGGGGACGGTGGACGGCGCGGGACAGAGTGGTGGGCGGTGGTGAATGGATTACGGTGGATGGTGGGCGTTCGATGACATTAGGCAAGGCGATGCATGATTTCAGGCAGGGCCGTGAGCGCTGGGCAGTAGGACGGGCGGTAGGTAGAGTGGTAGACGATATGAGACAGGGCGGCGGTCGGTGGGTGGTTTACTGTGGACGGAGGGAGTTGAGGCACCTAACGACAGCCCATAGTCACACCCCCGCTGACCGGTCGCGGCGGCGATCGGCCCGGCGCGGAGGGCGGACGTGGCCGGCGCGGAGGGCGGACGAGGCCGGCGCGGCGCGCTGTCCTTGAGTTAATTGCTGCGCCGGTGCGGGTCGCGGTCGGATAAGGCCCGGTCGGCGTCCCGCGGCACTGCGCAGCGTCACCGTCCAGCCGTGGGCAGCCGGGGACGCACCAGGAAGGCAGACCGCTCGCTAACCTGATGTGGGAGAGACGACTGTGGGCGCCGCTCCGCAGTCGCCGCCACAATGAATGAATGAATGAATGAAAGCTCGGCTAGTTTGTTGCACCAGGTTTCCCCAGCAGAGGTTCGTGTAGGCGGATGTTCTGTTCTGCCACCACCAGTCAGAAATTATGAAGCTTGTTTGTTAACTCTTAGTGTACCCAACATCCTGGAAGGGAAGACCGCAAGGCGCGGCCTATCACCCGACATGGCTTCTGACTTCACCACTTGGTGTTAAGCAAGCCATCTTGCGAAACCGCTGGACAAGTTGGTGCTAACACGTTGCAAACTGCCGCCATTCCCTGAGATACACCCGAACTCTGCGGCGCTGCCGCTGTGTGCCGGCGGCGCTGACCGCTCCGGCAGGTCACTGAGGTCACCGGCACAGCGCCGGGCCAGTCAGAGCAGCGGATGCCCTCCACTCTCCCTCCGCCCGCCCGGCCGACCGGCGCGCCGTCTCCGTTCCGACTGTTTTGTCCTTGCGGGATAACTGGGCACAATTATGGCGGTGTAAGTGGCGGGTTTTGTCCGCACATGGCAAAAACGGTGGCCGGCGCCGCGGGCGTCGACCCGGCGGCCTCGAATTCGCCACAGTTATCACTAATCACTGATAATCACCGGCAATAATCGAGCACGCATCACCTGGCGCGGCCGAGTTGCAGATTGCTGGTCTGACTGACCGAGAGGAGGAGATCGGTACCGCGGGGCGGATGCGGGGCGGGGGCGGAGGTAGAGCCGCCCGGCGAGCCGGTGGGCGGTTTGGGAGTGATGCAGGGGCGGCGGAAACGGATACGGTATGGTTACCGGCGTGATTGTCGCCAGACGCAGTCGAGACGGTCGCGGCGAGGCGGCGGCGTTTGCGGCGTGTCGGCGCGGCCGCCGTGCCGTCGCTCGCGGTTTCCCACTCGTAAAGCCGGCCGCCGAGCCGCCCTCCGGTTTCGTCTTTCCCGTTTTTCTCATTAATATTGCACAAAAAGTGTCCAATTTGTTACTGGTGTTTTATGGGCCTCGCTGGTGTAATTTCGAGGCGGCACGCAGCGCCGCGCCGCCACCGTCCCCAGCGCGCCGTGACGGCCGCCGCCGATCGCTGACGGGTGTCGCTGCTCGTCCCCGCCGCGCCGCGTCCGCCGCCGTCGGCCGTCAGCGAGCAGCTGGCCCCCTCCGGGTCGGCAATCATCTCGAGTAGCCGGCCCGGCAAGTCGTGAGACACAAGTGGTTAAACACGCGCGCCCGGAGAGATTCGAAAGCGGCGCTTGGAGTGGGATTCTCCGGCGTGCCGCTCGCGGCCGGTGGTCGGTTTTATTGTGGTCCGACTCGGCTCCATATGCACGTCATGTCAGCACCGGTTCCAGCCCACCCGCCGCCGCGCTGACCGGTCCGGCGCCGGCGACCGATCTCGGCACTTCAGCAGGCGCCCCGGGGCAATTTGTTCGCGCGCAGGGCAGGCTGTGTGTGTGTGTTTTTTTTTTTTCGGGCAAATTAAGCACACCATTTGTCAGAGTGCTCATTTCAGCGCGCCGGTGACGAATTGGGCGCGTTTGGTTTGTCCCGTGTCACCTTTGTCAGCGGCGCGAGCCGGGCCGCTCCAATGCGTGTCGGAGCCGCCGGGAACATTACTCTTCGGAGCGCTCACCGGACGGTAACTGGTGGTGGAGACGCCCCGGTGTCTCGGCGCCGCGTCTCCCCAACGGAGCTGACCAGCGCAGCGGACCCAGCGGCGTCCGCGCTCCGGAGGACCCTTTTTCTGGTGGCACGTCGCCGCCCCGGTGACCGCGCTCGTCCGCGCGCTGATCCTCACCGCTAATGCGTCGGGGAATTTGTCCGCGCTTTCTCCCATGGCTGATCGGTTAGCGAGGGAGGGCGCCGGCGCGGGCGGGGAGCCGTGTCCTCGCTGTCCGTCCTGGCGAGGACACCGAGCTGCCACAGCAGTGTTCTATGAGCTCGGAAATCCATAGTTTGTGCGGCTTCTGGCCGGCGCGCGGAAGGCCGGCCGGCCGTCGTCCGCATGTCCCCCCGGCCGGGCCGCTCGACCTAATCCTATTACGCGCTCCCGCTGTAGCCTCCAATCATGTTAATTACTCTCATTCTTGTCAAGTAGGGCCGCTAATGCGCTTCCGTCTCAAGTTGAAGCGCATTAGAACGTCGCGGCCGAGTCGCCGGTCGCCGATCACTCGCGCAAATGGGGGCCGCCGCGCCGCTGCCGCGGGAGTGATGTGACGCTGAGTTGTAGGTCGGAAAGGCCTGCAGAAGACTCTTCTGGAGCATGATTAGCCATGACGATGCATGGAAAGCAGCCTCGTGAAAAGTATCCTACCATTTTATGATATCTAGTCCTAAAAAGTCAGAATCTGGAGTCGTATAAATGGAGGCAGCGAATTAGAACGGACACAGCGTGGTGGAATCCGGCTTAAATATGATACACCAGGGACGGTGGCGCCACGGAGGCGACGCGCTCGCCCCGGATGACTGAATGATAAGCCGGTGGGCGGTGGGAGCGCCAGAGTTATGGCGCTACACAGTGCCTGACAGTATGGTTAGTACGTGACCGGCCGACCGCCCCCGGCGCTGCCGACAGGGGCGGCCCCAGGCGAGCCGGTCTCCGCGGCACAGCGCTAACCCCACCCGGAGTGGCAGCTATCCTCTGCTCCGCCGCTGACACCCCGGCGGGCGGCAGGCGGTTCGGAGCACGTCCCAGCCCGGATATGAGTCATTAGTCGCCAACGCGCCGTTGTCGGCACGTACCGAAAGCAGCGGCAGTTTGCTAGTCGGTTGCATGTAATTGCAATCGAGCCGGGCGCCCGTAATGGCGGCGGTGCGCGATCGACGTGTGGAGCTCTTTTGTTCGCCGCCACAGCGCCATAAACACATCATTGTTGGTGAGGTAAAAACGGCCGGCGCACGGTACCGGCGCGGCCGAGACAGAGGGCGCTGCGGTCGGCGCGTCGTGTTTGTGACCGGCGCGCCGTACCTGCCGCCGCCGCCGCGTCTCCGGACGATGATGAATAACAGCTCTCTCCCTGTGGCCGGGCGGTGGATAATCCTCGCGCCGCTGACACTCGCTGTTTGTCCAGGCGGATACCCCTCCCCTCCCACCTCCCCACCGCTCGGCCACTTCCGACCGGTCACCGCTGAAATCAGGTGTGAAGCGGGCGCCGTGACGCCCGGGGCCGCCGTCTGTGTGTGTGCCTATTGTGACGAACGGTGACGGCGTGAACAGTGTGGCCGCTTTCACGCCTGCCTTCACTGGAACTCCGCCAATCCACCTCTGTCGTCCGACCACATTTCCGTTTGTTTTATCGAGTGCATTCGGCGGGCGATGTTCCCGTCTGTTTTGTCTGTACCAACGACCATCCTTCCCCAGTCTCTAGCCTGCATGATCTATGGCCATTACTTGTTGTGACTTTCTCTTTGCTTTCTGAGACAGTCTCTGTTTGTCTCGCTCGCTCTTATCATGCCAAGTGTGCCGTGTCTCTCCCATCTTCCACCACCGACTCAACTGACCCATCTCCATTCTTGTGTTGCAGAGTCGTCCTCTGGGGACTCGGGCGGCGGCAGTACCGGCACCGGCGGGGATGGCTCGGCCGGCACCCCTCTGCGGCTGCTCCAGATCCCTGCCCACGCGCTGACCGAGCTGCGGCAGGCGCTACAGACGCCCGGGCCGTCCGAGGCGCGGTTCACACAGGACGGCTGCTCGGCCGACGGGCTGAGGGGTGTCACAGAGGTGGATGGCGAGAGCGGCGCCGTCTGCAAGCAGTGTCACCTGGTGTTCGCCACGGCCGCGCAGCTGGAGCGGCACCCGTGCTGGCAGCGCGCCGGAGCGCCGCCGCCGGCGCGGCTGCTGCTCACCCAGCGCCAGTACCAGTGCACCGTGTGCGCCCAGAGGCACGCCACGCGCGCAGAGGCGCTCGCCCACCTGAATCGGCAGCACGGCGACGCCGCCGAGAAGCTCGCCTCGCTGGCGCAGAGCAAGACGCTGGCGGCGCTCGGCGGTACCGACACCAACGGTAACTTCCAGCCGTCGGCGGGCACTGTCCGAGGCGAGCACTAGCCGAGCCGGCGGGCCCACACACACCGCAATAACGCGTGTCAAGGCCGCCGGCGGGGCCGGTGCAAAGCGCCGCCCAGACAGAGGCCAGTGCACGCGGCACACGACGCAGGATCCACCGACGCTCGGAGAGACGACAGGGCCGCGACAGACGGTACGGGACAGGACACCGAACGGGAGACAGGGGGAGGGAGAGAGAACGGGAGAACGAGAACGACAGAGAGAGCGGACGGACAGGACGACCGGAGGAGGGCGGCGCGCGCGCCGTCACACAGACAATACGTAGCTACATGTTTCTCCGATAGAGTTAATCTCTCTTCCATATGGGGGCGAGGCCGGCCGGGCGCTGCGCAGCGCGCCGCGGGCCGGCGCGGCGTGTGTGTGACTGTGTTGTGTGAGACAAAGTACAACACGCTGGCACTATGGTTCCTAACGCAGCGCTGATGACGTCGTCGTGCCCTGTTCTGTTGGTCGCAGCGGCCGTCTGTGGTGTTATTCTCGTTGTGATATTGTGTGTGCGTGCGGCGAGAGAGCGTCTCCAATGCCATATAATGGTACCCGGACGGCGGTCAGCCGCCAACCACAGCTAATGTTCCTAACATTATATATACATATATATACATATACTAACAATACTAAAATGTTCCTGTACTTTTATACCGGGTGACGTGGTTCTTGTAGCACTTGCCGGCGCCGGCTAGGGACAATTTCATGGTATATGGAGCGCTAAATCAGTGAAGACAGTTCCTGTTTTTTGGTGCCTTTGTAATATTCCTGGCATTTTAGCCGCGCCGCCGTGCGGCACTCCTGTCTGTTACAGCTGTAGTTTCTGCACAGGTTCGGGAATGCACGGTACATAGTCCCTATCGCTGCCGCCATGTTTCCTATAAGGGTTCCTGTTGACTAACTCAAGTTCCTAACACGGCACCCTCCGGCCGACGGGGGCGGGGCAGCGGCTCATCGGTCCGCCGCGCGGCTCGCGCAGCTCACGGTGCCGGCCGCTCAGCAGGGACGGAGAGACGCCCTCAGACGCACTGAGGTCCCCGCACCGGTCCGCTGAGCTGGCCACCCGGGTCCGCTGCTGTCGCGGCGGACCCTCTGCGCGAGTCTGGCCGGCGGCCCCGGCCGCTCCCCGCCCCGTCCAGGCCCGGAGAGCTAACCGCCTGCTACTTTTCAACTAACCGGGCCTCGCATCAAGTGCCATTGTTTTCCAGTGGCGTCTCGCGCGCGCGTTACGTCACGCCATGTCAGGCATGTCGGTGTTGTCACTGGGGCTGCGTCGAACCCCGAGCGCGTGCCAACCGGGCCGCCACCTCGCCCCGAGAAGGCGACACGCGCTTCAGCGTTCAAACCGCACCGGCGCGGGCACGCGCGTCCGCGAGCGCGCCGCAGCCGCAATTCTTATCGACCACTCGCGTAGGATGTATGTTTAACAAAAATGCATTCCAGTGGTCGAATTTGTGATTTGTGTTGATTTCGAGTGTGTTTTAGTCTGGCGCATGTTTGTGTGCGTGTGTGTGCGTGTGTGTACGTATAATTGCCGATAGTCTGGCGTAGCTAGCGTTGCGTGTACTGTATTCAATCTGGCAGTGTTGGGTTATATATTTATTTTGTTGATGACGTGCTAACGGCATTATTGGCAATGTGATACAGACGGCAATGCGCCAGTGAGGTGGATGTGCGGTGGCGAGCGGAGAGTCCGGACCGGGCCGGGCCGCGCGCGCCGCCGTCACCGGGCGCGGCGGCCCGGCGCGAGCAGCTCGCGGCTGGCCGGCTCTCCTCGCGCCTCTCCCAAGTTCCTATTATCATAATAAGGTGTCTCCGGGTGGTCGGGCGGCCGGCACCGTCGGCAGGAGGCCCTGTCTGACAGGGAGACACCGCCGCCGCCGCCGCCGCCGCCGCCGGCCCGTACTGTATCCGGCGCGCGCGCGCGACAGTCACGGCGCGCTGGAGGCGCCCGCGGCGCGGCCGGCCGCCGTGCTCGCACCGCCCGATTTCTGGCATGATTCGGATTTGTTTTCGTACTAAGTGAGTGGACGCATGAATGCTTATGTCGGATAATAAACATTCACCTGAGCTGGGTCTTTGAGCCGCGTTCGCCGGCTGAAGGGCCGGTAACGAGAGGCGCCGTTGGACGTCGGACGGGCGGGGGAGGAGGGACGCACTAACGAGGGACCGCGACAGCACCGGCCGGCGACACAGCGACTGTGGAGCGGCCGACCGACCGACGGGCAAACGACGGTATGCGCCGATATAACGTCACTCGTCAACCGTGGTACACTGGGAGGTGACGGTCGAATGGATGGGGAAAGTCGGAAGCGAACTGCACTCAGTCACATCTAATATAAGTCATTGGTAAGGCAATCTTTCGCAGCTCTCCCGCCGAAGGAATTAGAGTGACAGCTGCAAACGCAGTACGCTTTACATACTAGGCTCAGACATATGAGGCGTTAAGCACCATCCCACGCACACCAACAAGCAGGGAGGTAAGTACACAGAGCAGCAAAAACAACCAACCAGCCATGAACCATGATCTGAGCAGAAGCGATCATTCGGTCAATCAGCCAGGGAGAACCGCTCAATCGCCTACGCACGCCGAAAGACAAACTTTTTGGCACGGTGACTATAGATAGAAAGACAAACTAAACGCAGACACCTACACGTAGGGACATGTCGAACGAGTACAAACTGCACGGGCCAAACTCACCACGGAGCTTCCTCTCTCCGGAGAGGAACTGTCGAACCACTGCGTCAGTGTCAGGTAACGGTACCGCCCAGCCCACCATTGAGCGCCCACGGAGCTCGGCCGGACAAACGGACTAATTGTGGACCGATCGGCGCGTCCCGACCGGCCGGCCGCTCGGCAGAAATTGCTCATGAAACAAAGGAGCCGATGAGTGGAGGGGAATTAGGCGGACGTGAGGAGCGGAGGGGCAGCGAACTCCGCGCCCGTGGAAGTGCCCGGTCGGTATAGTTTCTGCGCCGCCGGCTAATCTCCGGAGAGAAAATCTCAGTCGCCGTCCCTTGGGGCACGCCGTTGTTTTGTCTAAACAGCGCCGCGCAGCCGAGCCTGTGATCGGGTCTCCGCACCTGACAGGAGCAGAACAGCCTCTTCCTCGAGCGCTTTTGTGTGGCAAAAGAAAATTTCGCTGTAATTTTAGCTACCGTTTATCAGATTTTCGTCAAAACTCCTCAAGCTAGCCAGAAAGTGGGGAAGCATAACCTCTCCCTCATCGGTGTTCGCTCCTTGCCTAAAAATATGTCTACTTTTGATGAATGCCGGCACCAGGAAGGACTGACTTTTGTTACCAAGCCAGCGAGCTCCTTTGACCATTGGCATTGCTAAGCTATGAACAGATTTGGGTATGCGAATAAACCAACAGTTTAAAAGCGCCCAAATCATGATGACTCAACTGCATAAAATAGAATAGAAATCATTTGACCCAATGCTAAACGTGCTCGATATGGAGTTGTGGTAGAAATGCAATAACAATTCATAAAGTATGTATTCCTAAATATAACTTGAAAAGCCTCAAGCAACTTGCTGGTCTATCAGCACTGCAGCTGATTGGTGATTAGATAAAACAATATGAAAACGATACCTAAATGAAGAAACCCAGCACAAATGCCCGGAATTGAAAAAAGCGTAAAGCCTCGAGCATCATCACAAGACATCTGCTTAGAAAATTGTATTGCGCAATAAAACATTCCTTCATTATTTTAGGCAAAGCCCCTGAATATGGCGGCCAGTGGGTATATGTATGTGTGGCACTAAAACGGGGCTAAAATTTCGTTTTGAAAATTTTCAACGGGACGGGCAGCCAATCTGTTCTACCACCCGAGAAAACGTTGCGTGTAAAATATTTTTGGAAAATATGTTTATTTAGAGGTAGCTCAACCAGGTCAAAATTCATATTTTTGTGAAAAACACAACTTTGCCGAAATTTTAATTTCCACGTGTATTTCTGATGTTCACAATGACATTGGACGTTGCCAAGACTTTACCGAAACGTTTCAGCACCTAAAGCTCAGATATATAGGTACATATGAGGTACATAATTCTTTTGAAGGTATGCATAACTTACTGCATAACTCCATGAAAAGAGAAAGCGGTATCATCCGTAATCAGCCAACACTTGTACACGTTATTCGTCGGCTAGTCTTGCCTACTTAGAAGGTACGATCGCCTGGCGTATGTCAGAATGCTTGCTTCTTTGCTCCTCGACGACCTACAAGAGGAGCTGCAGTTAGTCTTTATCCTTCGTGGGGGTTAGATCGATTTCCTGGCCATCAACAAAATGCCTCGTTCCGCGAAGTCGTAGAGGCGTGAGGAGACCTCATGTAGCGCATGGCGGCGTTGTAGAATGGCTTGACCTCCCAAAGAATCAGCTCCTTCAAGAGGAAGTCGGTGTCCATACCGAGGATGCTGAAGAAGCTTGTGAAGCCAGTTGTGATATGACGAAGTCTGCCGTGGACTTGCTAGAGACTGAAGCTATAGTAAGTTCAACGTGGGCTCGACGGGGGGGGGAGGGGCACTCGGCCCTCTCCTCCTCTCGTAACGATGCAGCCATGTCACGTTTAGTAGCAGCAATCGTAGTCTCCTTCATTAGAAGTTGAGGGCGACCAGCCTCTCATTTAGATACCAGAGGTGACGGCTGAAGGCAATGGCTGTCGCCTTGGACACCAGTTCGGACACCAATTCGTACTCCAGAAGGGACTTGAGGAGGTCGAGATCTTGCGCTGGTGCAGACGCCAGAAGCGGTGCATTGAATCGAGCCGAAAACTACTTTGTTACCACATAGGTCACGATTTGCTGGAGGCTCTTCTTTTTAGACGTAGTGAGCCGGGATTGTGCTCGGAAGAGGTAAAACTTCATAGCGTAAATGGCATTGGTCAACCAGCACACAAGGAGCATATCGGGGCGAGCGATCTTCATACCTCGTTTCGGAGCACCACCGAGGACAGTGATGGCCAGCTCCAGAATCTCACGGTTGTCGCGTGAGTGCTGGTGGTCAAGGATATACGACCGAACTGTGCAAGAGCATCACGCGGGTTGTGGAGGTGGGACATGTCACAGTTTTGGAAGGTTTATGGCTTCGTTCCATCTAGCCGCCCACTTTTTATGGAAGCGCTTAACTACAAAACAACGTCCGGGCCGCTGGACGGGCCGAGGCAGGCTGAAAATGTCTTTATAGAACAAACTCGTAAATGTCGTGGCAAGTCAGAAGGAGCAAGTCCTGCTCGAGCCGCTGCTTGATGATCGTGCAGGCTCCTGCATTGAGGCCGGTGTTCGATGCACTTGTGTCAAAAGTGAGCGCTTTCACTCAATCCTTCAACTCTCACTCATCGAGGGATTCTAGAACAGCGTTTGCTGCGGCCTGACAATTTGAGCCTGGCTAGCGAAAAATGTTCTGAAATGGCTTAGCAAAACACAACTTATCTTTTTCACGTGCACGTCTTCTCCCTGACATCACGAAGACACGGAGACCTGCCCTGTGGCCGTACACTGGCAGTGTCCCCCTGCGCATCAGTAACCTGGGATACATGAGCAGAGTAAATGCGTATTACAAACGGATCACAATACTCAGCGAAGAAAAACCATTCCTGATACGCATTTATTTGCTTATGTAACCCCGATAAGTGCCAGCAGTCTCGTGACCCTTCCTAACCATCGTAATACGAGAGAAGAGCTGAAGTTGCACGCCTAGCAGCTGCGGGCCACCGTCACCGAACAAAATAAGCTAAACTACGCTGAACGGCCATTGGTTGAATCACGCATTGCGTCGCAGCGCGTTTGCGGCGAGAAACACTGTGGTTATGAAACAAATAGGAAGGCATCTATCATTCATTTAAACGTGTTACAGCTCAAATATGACAATGCTTGGAATGGCGCGACACACTCTGAATCCCCGTTCACAATATACATTTTCTCAATATGTACCAAGTATGACCCCATTGAGCTACCTCTAAATATAAATATTTTTTGATAAAATTTCATACAGATCATTTTTTCGTGGGGTAGAACAATATGGCTACCCGTCCCGGTCGAAATTAAAAAAGTCGAAATTAAGTGCCACTATATGTACACCGAGATGTCTTAGCTGACAGCTTGTAACCGGGCTCGTTATTGCATTTCGACAAAACCCCGGCCTGCCTAGTGTAAACAGTTATACCCTCTAGCCTCCTTGCACCCCGTCCCCCCACGCCCCTATTCGTCACCGGCCACCTCCCGTCCCATTCCGTCAGCAGTCTCCTCAGATGAACCGCACTCCACCGCCTCAAACCAATCGCCGTCTCCGCCATCCATCTGCCAGCGATCCGCGCCTGTATCGTCTCCTCCGCGCCAATAACCGACTCGGTCCCACTCGGCGGCACTCTCCGACGCGCCGCGTTTCGCGCGCGCGCGAGCCCATCTTGCATGCAACATCGGACGATGCGAGGCGCGCCACTTGATGCCGGTCGATGAGAAGCGCCCGCTGAAAACAGAGCCGGCCGACGCGCACCTAATGCCTTGTTTTTCTCTGTCGCTCGCCACCGCCGCGCCCGCCGGACGCCATGTCTAACAATCCAAGTTGGTCGTCTGATAGGAGACAGAGCGCTGCCGACCTAATTTCATGATGAGACGCCGTCTTCGTCGCGTTGCCCCGGGCGACATCTGGGAGAGCGAGCCACGCCTGATGCTCTTTAATATCGCGAACTGTTTTGGTAGGGATATTTTTCATTTGACGGCAGCGCTGCCGTTACTAGGCTATCTCAGCCGCTCTGTCGATTGGTGCGGTAGTGATGGTGGTGAGTGGTGACGGTGAAGATGGTGATGTCGATGGTGACGTTGGTGAAGGTGGTGGAAGCGATCCTTGAAGCGGTGTGAAAGGTGACGCTGTAGTGTGACAAACCTTGATGCTTTAGGGCCTTGGACAAACCCAAGACAAGCCTAAGAAAGAACGAATTTGAAGCGAAACCGCTGTTGATGCACGTGTCTTTATATTGCCTCAAAATACTTATATTTGAGAATACCTATTTTCTCACGGCTCTTTACACACATTTTCTCCGAACTATACTTTTCCGGTGATCGAAAC